CAGATGGCTGGGGCTCAGCCACAGGGAAGGACTCCTGATATGAGGATGGGAGCTCTGGGGTGCCGGGTGGGGGTCTGGCATTGCTGACCTCCTTCCCTCCCCAGGTGGGCACTGTGGTTCTTTAAGAATGACAAGAGCAAGATGTGGCAGGCGAACCTGCGCCTTGTCACCAAGTTCAGCACCGTGGAGGACTTCTGGGCGTGAGTGTCTCGTGGGATGGGTGATGTGGCCCCTGGGGGAGCAATAAGGGATGTTGGGGCCTCTGCACCTTGCAGGGTGCTGCAGTGCTATGGGGAGAGCCTGGCACTGGGGGGTGGGCTATAGTGGGGTGCCAGGGGTCTCAAGACACTCGTTCTCACCTGCTTGTCTTGTGTCTGATCTGGTGCAGCCTGTACAGTCACATCCAGCTCGCCAGCAAGCTCACATCGGGCTGCGACTACTCCCTCTTCAAGGTGGGACCCCCTGCGTGCTGCAGCTCCTTCTCTACTGGGAGAGACAGCACGATCCCTCCCTGCCACAGTCCCCATCCCTCACCACCCCTCTCCCCATGTCACTTGTCTGCCCGGGGAGATGCTCCCAGGTCCCTGCAGAGGTGGCTGAGGCTCACCAGGGTGCCCTGGCCACGATGCGGGAGGTCAAGCCTGGCTGAGTAGGGCTGTAGACCAGTAGCTGGCCCTGGCCATGTGCTCGGCAGGCCTGACTGCCATCCTGCCTGTCCCCAGGATGGGATCGAGCCCATGTGGGAGGACAGCCAGAACAAGCGTGGTGGGCGCTGGCTCATCACACTGGCCAAGCAGCAGAGGCACACGGAGCTGGACCGCTTCTGGCTGGAGACGGTGAGCGTGCCCTGCAGTGGGGCCAGGGTGATGGCATTTTCCCTTGGATGGCTCCTTGAGCTGTGGATGGCAGGGACCATCCTGGACTCCCCTTCTTCTCTGAGCAGCTGCTGTGCCTCATTGGGGAGATGTTCGATGAGTACAGCGATGAGGTGTGCGGGGCCGTCATCAACATCCGCGCCAAGGGTGACAAGATCGCCATCTGGACTCGCGAGGCAGAGAACCGTGAAGGGGTCACCCACATCGGGTAATGTGGCCTGCGCAGCTCTCTCCCCACAAAGATCATTTGGATCCTTGTTGGGCTGGAAGGGGAGTGGGGTCTTGGCAGGAGCCATCCCCTGTGAGGGATGAGCCGCATAACAGTGGGGTCTTTTCTTCACCTTTTACCATGAGTTTGTTCTCCTCCATTGTCTCTAGTGGCTGATTAGGGCTGGTGTTTTGGGTGCCCTGTCCCCCAGCAGGGAGAGGGCAGGGGCAAAGTGCCCCTGCCTGGCCCCTGCAGCCCCCCTCTCTCCTCCAGGCGTGTCTACAAGGAGCACCTGGGCCTGTCACCGAAGGTGGCTATTGGGTACCAGGCCCACGCGGACACGGCCACCAAGAGCGGCTCCCTCAACAAGAACAAGTTTGTGGTGTGACTGTGAGGGGAGCTGGGGACCCTGTGAAACCCTGCAATGAAATGGCTGCAGCTGAAGGTGGTTGCTGTGTCCTGGGGGTGCTGGTGCATGGGGGGAGGGCTTGCTCTGGCTTTGGGGGGTGCGGGGAAGCCTCATAAGAGGGTGGCCATGAGCTGTTCTGGAGCTGTCCTGCCACCCGAGTAGAGTGGGGAGCTGAGCTCCAGGCTTGGGTGACTGCCTGTCCTCATGCTGAGCATTTTGCTGCCGCAGCCCCGGCACCTGGGCCCGCAGGGGTACCCTTGGGTGCAGAAGCCTCAGGATGGTCCCTGGGAGAATGACTGTCCTCCCCTGCTCCAAGCATGGTTCCATCCTGGGGCCCCTGAGCTGCGGTATGAGATGAGAGGGTGCAGGGTCCAGCTCCCCTGCATGGCTCCTCACTGGGCTCAGCCCCTGCGGCCCAGGGACTGCAGGACTCTGTGCTGAAGTTTGCACCAGCAAGGCCCATCCTAGGGCTGCTCTGGGCATCCTCGCAAGCGTCCAGGTTGCGCAGGAGGCCTGAGTGCTGCTGAGCTCAGGCTGCCTTCATGTGCACCCCTATCTCCTGCCTGAGGGGTGAGGAGGGGGCACTGCCAGGGCTTACAGCTCTGAGGGTTCACAGCTTCCAAACCAGCGGTGCAAGAGGCCCTTGTTCCCAACATGTCTAGCCCTGTGACTCTAATGCCCCCTTTAGCTGCTCCTTTCCTTCCATGGCCATCTGGATTGCAGTCCTGTGTCCTTTGATGTCCTTCCTGGGGGTCCTTGTCCTTGGACGCCTCAAGCTGCCCATTCCCTCTCCAAGCACGTGAGGATCTCCAGTCCCAGCACAAGGGTTTGTGTCCTGTTTTGACGTGTCATGTCCACCACAAGAGCCCTTCTTGTCCAGAGCATCTGCCAGCTAAGTGCCCCTCTGCTTCCCCCTTGCTGTCCTGGGCCTGCACTCAGTGCTGCTTCTGCTTGTTGCTGACATGTGAGGTACTTGGGGCGCTGCCTCCATGCTGGGCCCTTGTGCAAGGGGGCAGTCACAAGCAAGGGGACAGCTCCATCTCTGCTGTTATGGTTGCTGGAGGCACCAAGCTGGTGCTGGGACCCTGCAGGCCCTCTTTGCCCTGGGCGATGCCCTGGGGGCTGTGCAGCCCCATGGGGCTGGCTGGGTGGCTGCCCTGGCTTCTGGGCTGCCCTGGCAGCCTCTAGCCTCCCCAGGGTTCTGGGCCTGGTGTGACCCACAGCAGCTGGTGCAAGAGGGCCAGAGAAGGGAGATGGGAGCAAGGTGGCACGAACAGTGTAGCAGCTTCTGTCCCCAAGTGCCCTCTGTAGCGACTGCTCAGAGGCTTGCCCCTATATGCACAACACACCAGCACTGTTTTCCCTTCTGCTGTGTGGGTCCTGGGATGGGGGACTGCGCAGGCACCCACTGCATAGGCCCCAAAATGCCAGCAGCACCCGTGGGGCTGGCAGCCCACAGCCTGGCCTCTGCGCTGGGGCTGGCTGCCCCGCTGGGGACAGTGACCAGGGCAGTGGGTCCCGCTCCCCGCCGTGGGGTGGGGGCTGCAGAGCCTCCCCTGCCCGGGGCTCCGCGATGGCCCCGGGCGGGCAGGGGCTGGGGGGGC